ATATTTGCTCCTTACGCGGGGGAACGCATCCACTGCTCTTCGCCGGGCTGCATAGACGTCTATCGCTCCAGCATCCTCTTAGGCCTTCAGTTTTCCCTGTCCGGTGCCCTGAACCACATTCTACGCGACTTGGACATCGGCATCAGCCAGTTGGTGCCGACCGTGTTTGCCCGGCTGGTGAGCCTGATCGTCCTTATCCGGCAGCAGGGCTGGTCCGACCCTACAAGCGACGACGTGAAGGCCCTGTTCGCTTTCAAAAATCCAGGGAAATCGGCAATTATTACAGCTCGGCATTCCCCGGTGTCGACAAGTCACTCATCTTGAAACTTCCCGAGACTTTGCACGGCTATATGCCTGAGTGGTTCTGGGTTGGCGGCGAGCGGCGAACCAGAGATGCAGATCGGCACCCGTCCACCCATTTTATTATGATCAAGAATAAAGTTTTGGTTCATGACACTTTGAGTATTATGTTTTAGCACTTGACGGTCTCATTATTTTTGGACTAATTGATAATTGACATGTGAGGATCACATTCATGTAATTTTCATGCCACACGTTCCAGAGTTTTATATAAGTCAGTCATGTTGATATATGCGCTTATTGATATTTTAGTTGTATCTATATGGTGAAAACTATTAGTCCTGTGTTGTTGTAACCGATAGACCAGATTGTTCAAGATCTATAATAATGACCACATTTTGAACTCATAAGCTATAATGTATTATCAAGACACATACTAAACCAGTGGGAGAAAGTTAGATCTATTTTGTGATTAAATATGTGTAATTGATACATTAGATCGTTTTGTTGTGTAGCCAAATAAGTGATCAAATTATTGAATAAATATATTGGCTAAGAACTTAATTTAAAATTGTGGAATGATTAACTGTGGACTCCCGATAATATTATATTTGATGAGGTAACAAATAATTATAATATTATAATAATATTAAACTTATGTTAATTAATCAATAAAATAATTTGGGTCTAAACTAATGATGGGCGGAGTTCTCAAAACTGTGACAAATAAAAATGGCCCTAAGAATTCTTCATTAAGTGAGAAGTAATAAATCTGCTGCCCCTTCCTCTTTACAAATGTGTTCTTCATTACGTCCGAAGAGAAGAGAAGGGATCACGGTCTTTGGAAGAACTTCAATTCCGAATGAAACTTGACTTCCAATGCAATCAATTGACATGAACTCCTAAGGTACGTTTCTGTTATTCGATTATGATTTCAATTATTAAATATGAACGCTCCTAAATTAAGCGATAATTTTTGCATAAGGTTAAATCTATCAACGTATTCATAGAATCTAGTTAAGAGAGTTAATTTTTTGTATATTGTCACAATTCCTTATTTACTTTTTTTATTAAAACCATTTTATCTTTTGAAAATAGCCTTTGAAAAGGACCGTTGTCAATTTCAGATGGTCATTAGACATTGGAAGGTTTTATTTTTATTTTTTTTAGAGCGATACAAATAAATTAATACCAAAGCCGAAACAACATTTAATACAATGGGTGAATATTCGACCAACCAAACCTCAAATTGAAATAAAATGGAGGACATGTCTACATGGTGGCCTAGACACAAACTACCCCTAGCCGAGGCCACAACTTGTGGAACACCTTGGCTAGATCCAACACCAACATAAGAAAACAATACCAACAAACACTGACTATAAATACCCATAAACACAGACTAAATAAAACACAAAAAAACTAAGCCTCAAGGACACTAGAATGCAACAGTTGACACTCTTGCCACTCCTTTATGGCCTCCTTGATCACCACCACCTCTAGTACCCAAACATTTTGAATCAACCATAAGTTACGGGTCTTCCACAACCACCATAAGATATAGGTGGTCAGTTGGATCTTGTCCTAGTAAGTTTATGAACCATCTAGCTCACATACTTGCCACCACCAAGACCTAAAATTGCAGTTCTCAGCTGATAACCCATCCTATTGAACATGAGCTAATTTTAAGACTCTCTTTGCTCTTGGACAGCTAGAGAACAAATGTTCAACCTATTCTTCCTCCTCACCACCACTTGCATATCACCTCAATGTTTAATATTAGCAGGAAGGATACTTGAAAAGTACTTCTACAAAAAATGCTTAATCTTATCTTTAACCCTTAGCAGGGGCAGATCTAGCTCATAATATGAGTGGGGGTTTACTTGTTTCTAGAAAGAAAATATAATACATCATAATAAAGTATAAATACAAAATAGGCAATGATAGAAATTCTTATAAGTTTCCATAGTTTGGTATGACTTTACAATAAGGTCTTTACATTTTATTTCGGCCTAACAATATTATAATTCAGCTTAAGTATATTTGGAATAAAAGTAGCTAATTTTGAAATATTTTCACATGCACTTATTTCTCAAGACTATTTATAGAAGTATTTCTCCATCATTGGATATAAAAAATAAATTATAATGTACAAAATGCTTTACCTAATATTTCAAACTTTGAAAAGCATACAAGTTATCAGTCACACACAAATTTAAATATGTTAATAGTCTCTTAATTAAGAAACAACATTCAATTAACTGCAAGTTTAAATTATCACTGGGAGTGTTCAATAATCTCCGAAGTAAGCATATTTCAAGTGGCTCGGCAAGGATTTCAGTTCAAGCTCCGGTGCCTGCAAAGTAGAAGGAAGAATTTTCTTATCAAGCTCAGGTAACCGAATAAATTTTTTATCATGCTTTCCAAGATATGGATTCAGCGTATTCAAGGCTGTTACGGCCTCATCGATAAGCCCCAACTGGTATAAAAATTTGGTTCGGTCGCTATCTCTCTGCAGTCCGAGTATGGGGATACCCTGTATACATGGGAAGGTACCCCGTACTGCTTGATTTTTGTCCAAACCTTGTGAAATCACAAGCTCCAGCTCATCTTCCCTATAAGTGTCGAGAAAATCCTATGCCAACGGTTCAATACAATCAAGTAAATAAGCACAATGGTCAGATTCAGGAAATTTCATGGCATAAAAAAATATTAAACCGAATAACATTGCCATCGAACTCCATTGTGAGAGTGCCTTCACGAACGTCGATTTTCGTTCGAGCGGTGTTCAAGAACGGCCGCCCTAACAAAATCAGGGTTGATATAGGAGTCCTGTCATTCATACTCAACACATAAAAGTCAGCGGGAAAAATGAGCTCATTAACCTTTACTAGAACATCCTCAATTACCCCATCCGGAAAAGTAGTACTTCGGTCGGCAGGTTGAATTACCACCCGAGTTTCTTTAAGAGATCCCAAATTTAAGGAATCAAAAATAGAGCTAGGCATAACATTAATTGATGCTCCCAAATCGAGCATGGCTCGCTCGATTTTTAAATTCCTTATTGTTCATGGAATCGAAAACATACCTGGGTCGCTTCTCTTTTGGGGAAAATCCTTCTGAAATATTGCCGAAACGTTCTCTCCCATCAGGACCTTCGCATTCCCATGTAACCTTCGCTTGTTAGTGCATAGGTCCTTCAAAAATTTGGCATATCGAAGGACTTGCTTGATTGCATCAATGAGAGGAATATTGATCTCGACTTTCTTGAACACATCAAGAACCTGCTTCTCAGCATCTTCCTTTGCTGCATTTCGTACCCTGGATGGAAACGGTAGAGGTTCGGGTTTCAGTGGAGGGCAAACCGGGCTGCCTTTTCGTCTTTCACTCTCTGCAGGCTGAGTACTGGGTGTCCCCGTATTCTACTGCTCGGCCCCATATTCTGCAGACAGATTCTCTTTTTCACTTTCATTTTTCTCGTTTTGAGTCTTCGGGGCTTCTAATTCTTTTCCACTCTGCAAGATGATGGCACTAAAATTTTTGGGGTTGATCTCAGGTTGAGATGGAAGTGGGCCCACGAGTTGTGCATCTAGTAGACTCATATGCTCCGCCAATTGACTCATTTGGCCTTTTAAGTTTTTGATGCTCACTCCTTGGCTCTTGATATTCAACTCCTGATTCTTGATGCTCTCTTGAACACCCTGCTGAAAGTTCATGGAGCTAGTTGCAAGCATCTTGATCATCTCTTCTAGGGAAGATTGTGGCATGGAGTTCGGTTGACCATTACCCACTTGTCGTGGAAAGTTTTGGCCTCTTTGGAAAATTTGGGGTGGCCGATTATCTTTCTTCGCATACACTCCTCCTGATGGGTTTCCATATCGAAGATTGGGGTGATCTCTCCAACCGGAATTGTAGGTGTTGGAGAAAGGGTCATAGTTTCGGCCCGGCCCATTGTTGGACCCTATCGCGTTCGTTTGTGCCTCCACCTCACCATTGATTAGCGGGCAATTGTCCGTGACGTGATCAGTCGTCTCGCAACACATGCAAGGTTGCATCCTGGGAAAACCATCTGTGGCTAATTTTCGGACAAAAGTCGTCAACTCTTTTACTTGGGATTCCAAGTTACCAATACCAGCTTCATTCACGGTCTGAAAAGATGCTTCCCGAGTGTCAAATTGCTGGGAGTTCGCCGCCATATTTGCTATAAGATCCCTTGCGGCCATCGGTGTCTTGTCCATAAGAGTGCCTCCACTTGCCGCATCGAGCATGTTCCTATCCATGAGGGACAACCCCTCGTAGAAGTACTGAATTAGCAGCTCCTCCGTCATCTGGTGTTGGGGACAACAAGCAATGAGTCTCTTGAATCTCTCCCGATACTCGTATAGCATCTCTCCATGCAACTGCTTGGCACAACATATCTCCTTACGAAAATTCGCCACCCTCGATGCCGGAAAGTACAGTTGGAGAAAAGCTTTCTCCATGTCAGCCCACGTGGTGATGGACCCCGACGAGAGGTAGTATAGCCAATCTTTGGCTTGGTCCTTCAATGAAAATGGGAATGTCCGAAGTTTAATCTGCTCCTCGGTCACCCCAGCGGGCTTCATCCCGAAACATGCCAGACTTAAGCTCGAAGGTGGCGTCATTCACCGTCGGAAATGTTATGCACAAGGGTTGAAGAAGTCGGGGATGGGCTAGTTGCCTTAACGTACATTCTCCCTCTCCCGCCATTGCTTCTTCCTCACTGGAAGAGTCAGAATATTCAGCGTTGTCGGACTCGCTGGAAGAACTGTGGTAATCGGCAATCTCCGGGTAGTCTTGCTCTCAGTTTTCTTGCGATTCCTTTGCCAACCTTGTTAGCCTCCGATTTTTCTTATCCTTCCTTGTGATTTCCAGGTTGTATGACAATAGTTTTTGTCCAGAAGACCTTGTGTTCATTCACCTGAAAAACAACTGAAACTATAAGTACCGAGTGCAGCAAAATACGTCGAAAGTTTCACACCTATTCTGCACAGCGAGTGTGGGGTCGAGTTATTCTGTTGGACAGAGTACTGGGGGTCCCCGTACTACTGGGAGCAGAAAATGAAAAGAAATAAAATGAAACCAAGTAACAGGGGGAGGAAATTTCGACTGAATGTAAGAAAATAAAATGAAAATAATCATGAAAACTAAACCTAATTTCAATTAATNCCAGAATTATGAATAACAAAATGGAATTAAATGCAACAAATAAAGATGATAATCAAATAAATGGGGAAGTTTCTAGTCCACGGTTCCGTCTACACCCTCGGCTGACTCGTCTGATCAATTTTAGTATCAAATCTCGCTATCTCATGGAATTACTAGCCCTAGGTAACGACATGGTCTGTTACAAGAATTTTTCCTTATTTTTAATTTAACCGCGAGACGCTCTACGATTAAACCTGATTTCTTATACAGTCCTGAAAAACGTTTTCAAGATTTAATACAATCAGCCGCTTTACGAATTAGAAAAATTTGCTAGACTAAGTAGTGAACTCAACCGCGTTCGTTCACTTAAATATGCCGTGTTATCCCCGGTAGTTACCGTCTTTCGGTTACCTCTTATGAATTAAACACAAAAACAATTACGGATTGAAGGTCTAATTTAGATGTAGATATGAAAAGTCTAATTTAGGTGATCAATCTAAACAAGACTAAACAAATCATGGTTAATTATTCAAAATAACACAAGCAATTCCAAAAAGATATTAAAATCATCAACCATATAAATCAATCAAACATCGTCAATCGTAGGATTCGACTTCCCCGGAACTAGAATAAAAGAACTACTCACTCATAGTGTTCAGTAACATGTTTATAGAATTAATTACACAAGAAAAGAAAAAACAAAAGAAATTAAGAAATTCTTCTCTAATTCTCCAAAGCTTTCTGCTGCTGCTACTCGGGATCTGCTCTTTTGCCCCCAAGTCTCCTGTTCTGTTCTAGCTGCCAGAAATTGTGTGCAATTAAAAGGTGTCCTTCTCAAAGCATAAGTCTCCCCAATTTATATCCCTTCCTCTGCCATGCCATGCCACGTCTCATTCCTTGTATATCCTCCAATGCTTGATTTTTTATTCCTTTGACTAAGTCCACCCAGGCTCTCTTCAATTTTAATAATTGCAGCCCACTTGTAATATTTTTTATGCCAATTCACGTGAAGTGTATGGGCTTTACCATGTGCTTGGGCCTGTTAGCCAGTATGGGGCCTGTTGGTTCAATGCGGGGCTCCCCCGTACTCTGCTATTCAGCCTTATTTTCACTCTTGTTCGTGCCTCCAAAATCATCATACACTAGAAATAGTTCCTTAAATCTTGAAAATCACTAAAAACCTCATAAAGGCACGAGAATCGTCCATAATATCAAATAAGTCGAGAAAATGTATAAATGCAAGGAATTAAATAAGCACAATCACAATATTAAAACATTTCCCGACTAACCATCTGTACTCCAACAGCAAATGACTTATGGAAGGAATCCAACAAGGAACTAAAATCTTTGTTTTTCTGCCATTTCGTAATTTAATTCACCCCTAATTAAAAAATATGCTTAATGTCCAACAAAGAGTTTACGCCCACAATTAAATTGCTTCTGATTAAATTCACTGTCAAGAATTTGGATTTTATATGGTTTTGCACCATTAAGAAAGGGCCGAAAGTTGATGGTCAATAGTCACTATTGCAAATTTTCCTATATTATATTGATGATTATACATATTACATGTAAAAAATTGTTTACATATGTCTGAGTGAGTGTGTATTGACTAATATAAAATCTAATTGACAATAATGGTACCCACATGTCATATAGTCATAGTCAAATATATCCAACACTTTCTTCCCTCCTTCACAGCCCGCCACCTTAGACAAGCCAAGTCAAAATCAAGTGTAATAAAATCGTGTGTGTGTGTGTTATGTATAGCCAGTACTTCTTCTACTCTCTCTTGCCCCATAACCTTGACAAACTAAGGTCAATTCACTTTCTTCTTCTTTTTTTTTTTTTTTTTTTCTNTTTACTAAAAAAGGCAATCCCCCTATCGATCCAATCATGTCGACTAATTCAAATCTCAACCGTATGATTCGTTCTTTGAGTTACAAGAAAGACCGAGCAAGAAGAAGGCAGATATATCTACGAACGTACAAGCTCGGCTCAAGCTATCGTGAGGAATGCTTGAGATACCCAAAACTGAAGAAAATGGTTGTGAAAGTGAAAAACGTGGTGGTATCGACTTTAGCCTTCATGCGTGGTGGCGAGTTGAGGCAGTGCACTTCCCAGTTGGCCATACGGGCATCGTCTCCTACACGACGAAATTAATTTTTTGATTTTCGTCATTAATTCAATGTCTTTTTGGAAGTATATTTCACGTGGAAGTACACGAGATTGAAAGGATGATGGATCCTTAGCCAGGAATCAATGTCTTAACTTTTTATTAGTTTCATTTCTAGCATAGTATGTTATATACATTTGATTTTTGATTTTTTTTTGTTTTTTTTTTGTTTTTTTTTTTTNAATAAAACAAAAAGATTATCAAATAAATCATGTTTTTGATAGTCAATTTTCTTTCCCTTTAAACCATCTAACATTAGTTTATTTAGTTTTATGTGGTAAAATTACTTGGTAGCTAAAAAATTTAATTTTTAATGTGTGGATACACAAAATCAGCTGACCTAAATAAAATCTACTAAAGCAGCCACGACACGGGTGATATCCCAGAAGCCAAGATGCTAAGAAGCAACAGACCCCAACCTTAAGACATCTTGATACCGACCACATTTCAAACTACGAAGCAATCACGTCGACATCTGCCAGAAGTAAAGAATCCTCTTTACCGATCTCAGTCGAACACTAATTTGAAAATGATTGCCACTCATAAATTGTTCCCATCGCACGAAAGGATAAATTACTTGCGCCAGTTGGGCAAGGTGTGTGGGCATGTGCCGTCGTGCATTTCACTAGCCTCCCAGAAGCTACATCCGGGATATATCATATTTTAAAGACCTCCACTTCTATAGGACTGGAGGCATCAAAGGGGGAGGGATATCTATCTCTACATTAATCTCTACATTAAGCTCTTCAATTCTCTATTTTTTTTTCCATTTCTTAAGATATATACTATACTTGAGTTTATTGTTTGTTTCCCATTTTTCCCTAGCATTCGAAAGGTTCTTGTATAAAAGAGGCCCGAGAACGCTCCAATATATGAATAAAATCGTCGGTGAAGGCACCCTAATTCCTTGATAATACAAACTATATGTCCTTTACCATTTTTGTTATTCTCAAGGTAAAATTCATCAAAACACTAAATCATAATCTAAATAACACCATCGCTTCGGTGGTCATGCTGGCGAAAACACAGCATCGACAAAATGGTGCTCGAAAGAGGGCCCCATCTTGCATCTGATTCTAAAAAATGCTTCATGGTGTCGTTTGGGTTAAACCATCACACATATCTTCCTACCGCGTTATTATGTCCGAATGGAAAGGCGGCAAAGCTAATCATCTGTATCCACGCTCTCTTTTCTTCATCCCGTCCAGATCCACGTTCGACACGGTCCATCTGTTGGAGTATACTATAGAAGCTCGCTTTGTGTTACTCTCAATTCTATTTTGAATGAGATGTGTGTTTTTAGTCAAGTATATATGTATGATTTATTTATTTATGCAAACATAGTTCTTTATTTTACTTTGTAGATAATATGGCTCGATGTGTCGAACAGAAAGATCATATGCCTTGTAAAATATAAATATTTGTTCACAACCTAGACGGAGTTGAACTAACTGTCGTGAAAGGTTGTAGTGTTATTTTGAATTAGATGGTCTTTAACTAATGAATTACAATAGTACATCTCAAATATATGATCGCGTATCGCGACGCGACAAATTTAAATTTATTTATTTTTCCTCGACTAACATCTGCTAGCTAGTAGTAGTGGTGAGCAAGGATCGATCCCACGAGGAGTAGGAATTAAATTGTGATGATTCTCGTATTAATTAAATTGAAACTGAGAAATCGATAAAAAGGGCGGATTGATTTTATAAAACTGAAAATAAGAATAACAAAATAAAATAAGACAAGTCCAGTTTTCGGTTTAGTTATCACCCAATCTAAATTTACCGTTAAATAATTTCGACGTCTTCTTTAAATTGCTAATGAATTACCAACCCTAGCTAACAACAAGCTCTGTTAACCGAATTTTCTCTTACCGATTATTTAATCAAATTAAGTTCTTCGACTAAAGATAACTAGCGGACAACCTAGAATAAGCTCTCTAGATTTAATACACTGGCAACATTAAAAATTCGGACCATTTAACTTATGTTCACGTTACCGTAGAGATGCACGACCCCTAGTTTACTACTAACGAAACAAGAACAATAACAATTACGGATTAAAGCCTCGTCTCTAGCTACTAAACTATGAATATTTAACGTAGCAGGCCAGACTAAAAGGGTTGTATTCAATTGAGATTCTTAAAGACTTTTTAAAACTTTTTAAATTTGGTGACTTTTGTGGACTTTGTAAAACTTTCATGACTTTGGTGGACTTGTTGAGACTTTCAGAGAATTATCATTAGTGACTTTTTAAGACTTTCATAATGGACTTTTTAACACTTACTGAGACTTTTATATACTTGTACTTATAATATTATGTTTCAATGAAACATTAATAAACGTAATATAATAACTAATATCAAGAAGAATAAATGAAAAAAAAAATATTTTATATATTAATCCTCTAAAAATTTATGAATCAACTCATTGTTATGTGAAATGAGTTATTCACTAACAAAGTGTTTAGGATTTTAGATTTATTAAACGAGCAAATCAATCTGAGCTTCAACGAGTCGGACTATGGAAGATACAAACATTGTCGAAAAACAGTAATTGTATTTTACAAAAGTTATCAATAATATTCAAAGTATTTCAATATCAACAAATAAACTATTAGAAAATAAAATAATTTTATTAATATTAAAAAATAAACATTGACAAATAAAAAGAGAGAACAAATAAATTATTTGCAAGTGCTAACTATAGAAAAATTTAACATTTGAAAAATTAAATTCACAAGGTAACAAAATGAAAGAATAAAGGTATACATACAGAAAATATCCATAATAAAAAATATGTAAACTAAAGATCACGTTAAATATACGTAAAGAAATTATATAAGGTATCAAAATAAATGAGTAAATAATAAAGCATGAAAGTAGTATGAGATACAAAGTCGTGTTAGAAAGGAAAACGAAAGGGAGCGTAAGGAGAGTCACATAAGTCCAGCAAAATCTCACCAATAGATGACCAATATTGATGAGATTTCTGTTGGGACTTTCTTTTTGTAATTTTATTAGAAAAGTCTCTAAAAGTCTCACAATTTAAAAAGTCTCACAAAGTCTTCATATTTTGAATACATGGTGACTTATAAAGACTTTCAGAAAGTTTTAATTGAATATCCTGAGACTTTTAAGGACTTTTTAAAAGTCTTAACAAATCTCAATTGAATACATGTAAACTTTTCAGAAGTCTTGAATACACCAGAATTCTAAAAGTTTTAAAAAATCTCTAAAAGTTGAAATTGAATACACTTCCCTAAATCAAACACCATAATTCATAAGCATTAAACATAGATAGTATGAATCAACTTATCAACAAAAATAAATACAACGTCTTGATTAATCAACGATAAATATAAATCATTCAATTTATAGACAAATCGAAATTAGGGTTCAAACATCCCTTAAACTAGAAAAAAAAAATAGTTTGACATACTAATAAAAATTAAAGATAAATAAAAAAGAGAATAAACTCCTTTGTGTACTAGTGTGGTTTCGCTATGCGCGTGTGCGCTCTCTGTTCGGCTGCTACTCTCTCTGCGGCGTCTTCTTATTCTGTCTGCGGTTTCGGCTTTTTTCTGAGTGCTTTGGCTTTCTCAAATAATTCTCTCGCCAAACATAAAATCCCCCTGCTGCGTGTGTATCTTGGAATATAAATCAAGTTATCCTCGAATAAAAAAAATTCAATCTCATCTTTAGAGTCCAGCAAATAAAAATCTCTCCAAGACCAAAGTCCTTTTGCTCAAGTACTGGTGCCTCTTCAGTCTTCTCACGTAAGACTCCCATTTTTGGGCCCAAATAATTGCAATTTATTTTGGGCCCAAATCATTTTTTTGGGTCGATTATCCAACATTATCGGTCCTATCCATTAATATCTCCGATTATTCTTCAAATTGCTGAAAATAGATAACAAAATATCAAAATACATGAATAATTCATCAAAATAATAAATAAGTCGAAAAAATATAGATGTGCAAATAAATTAAGAATATAAAATACACTATTAAATATATAAAACATGCACATTTTTTGACTTGTCAATATATTAGACGGACCTGCGGAGCATAAGATTATTTAATACTGACCACGTAAATAATCTTGATCTCAGTGACTGCAGCGTTCTCTTAACTAATAAGACAATAAAAATAGGCATGTGCATTCGATATTTATTTATTTAGGCCTCGTTTACTTCACGGGATGGGACATGATAATTAAAATTGTCCTGGATAGTGTTTACCTTGAGGGAATGGGATAGGATTTGTGTGATGTGGCGCACATGTAGCTGCGGGTCCCACTTCTGTATCCGCTATTGGCCGATTAATTTGATCCCGGCCTCCCCATGGGATAATTTAATCCCAGACCCGGTATGACCATTTTACCCTCAATTTTAGACTTGAAAAGATTAAAATACCCCCCTTCTTAAATTAATTACCGATGTACCATATAAAACCTGAAATACTGCCATTTTCCCTCTTTCCTGCAAGACATTTTAGTTTGTCGGGAAGAAGGCCATTGACATCGGCGGCAGTGGATACTCATCATGCCAAAGGTAAGGTCTTAGAATTAATTTCAGATTCCATTCCTGAAATTTTAAACCATAGCTATTGTGTTCCATTAAATCGGATTCTTTGATTGCTAATTGTTTTTTTTTTCTTTTTCAGTGAAGGTGAAGGTAATCTTCTATTCATTCAGTTATCCTAAAATGAGTTTGTTAATTTGAGCTCATACATATTATGAAAGGTATTTTTTTGGTTTAGTTTTTTGAATTATGTTTTTTAATTTTTTTTTTGAAGGAAGCGTTATCTGCAGAGTGAAGGAGTCGTCGTCGCCATCCTGTTTACACGCTCCTCAACCAATTTTCTGTGCAAGTGGCCGGCGGATTTTGGCGAACAAATTTGTGGAATGGATTTTGAAATTGGGAAAAAAGGTCGCCGACGAGGAGTGTTGAATGAAGCGGATGATAATAGTGTATTGGATGAGGGAGGATATATTTGTCTTTTAATTCCACAACAATTAAATTTAGGGTTTAATACACCAAACCCCCCTGTATTATACTAAATCTGCGCGTTTCCCCCTTATATTTTAAAAATTGCGTCATACCCCATTCTATTAAGGTTTCAGGTGCACACGCTCCCTTGTCTCTATTTTCCCCTTCTATTAAGGTTTCAGGTGCACACGCTCCCTTGTCTCTATTTTTCCTTTAACGGCGTTATTTTTTTCTTCAAAAATCCCGTTATACCCTCTGAATATTATACATATATTTACGATATATTAAATATATCGCGAGAATTTGAAATTAAAAAAAATTGCAGCCCTTAGGATTCGAACCTGGTACCTCATGGGAAAAAGATAAGCAATGCAACTACTACACCACTCAAGGTTAAGTCTTAGAATTAGGAATGTTTGATATATATGGACATTGTTATGGATAAGTGAAATTAAATTTAGAATATATAAATTATATTAAATTAAATTATTAAAATATAAAGTTATGATAATTCAAATATAATAAACTAAATTATATAAAATTAAACGAAAACAAATAATTTAAATAACTTATTATGTTAAACAAAAAAAAATCTCTCTCGCCCTGGCCATCCATTGCGTGGTCGAACTGCATGCGCGCCATCCTTCGCCAGCCGCTGGACCTCATCGATAATCCCTTGTCATCGTCTCGCTGCGTGTGGGCCGACTCGTGTCACGCACGTCTCCTCTCAGCGCATTCGTGTCGCACTCTTGCGAGCATTGCGCACCTTTTCCTCTTGCGTATGCGTGTCTCGATCGTCGACTCGCGTACTCTCCTATGCCATTGCGCACGTCTGCACTCTCGCATACGGGCTCGTATACGTCTCCTTGGCCATGGACGCATTGTTTCGGCCCTTTGCTCATTATCTTATATAATTATTATTTTTATTTTTCTTTAATTAGTTTATTTTAATTTTATTTATTTATTAATTTCATTTTTGTATTTATTTTTCTCATTTAAAATTTATTTAATTATAACTTTATTTAATTTTAGTTCACGCTAATACATTAAAATTTATCTTACTTTATTTTAATTTAATTTTCATTATTTTAAGTTAATTTAATATATTGGAAATTAACAGTATTATTGTTATTAATTATTTAATTTTTACTAAATTGACATATTATCCTTTTATTTTATTTATTTACTTATTTTTAAACTATTTAATTTATTTTAGTATGATGTATAAATATATTTATGTTCAATAGATTACATATCCATCCATATGGCCTAGTGGTTGAGCGGCCATTCCCTTTCTTTTCGACCCAGGTTCGAATCTTGTTACCCACATTTCATACCATTTAGGTTTTGCACATTATTCAAGGGTAAAACAGTAATTTCCGCCACTTTGGGGTGAAAAAATGAAGAAAAAGCCGCACAGCACGCGCGTGCACGCCACTTCCGTCATCTTAGACGGTTTAGGGTGTTTCGCGCATGCAAAACCTTAATAGAAGGAGGTCCGACGCAATTTTTAAAATACAGGGGGGAAACGCGCAGATTTAGTATAATACAGGGAGATTTGGTGCTTTAAACCCATTAAATTTATCATGTGTAGTAAACACATGACTGGGATTGCATTAAAATCTAGGGAAAATTACACTTCACCTACCGAACTATTCGCGCTTTTATACTTTGCCCACTCAACTTTTTCTGGTGATACTTTACCCCTTGAACTTCAAATATTCTTGCACTTAACGACTTCCGGCCACCGGAGATGCAAAATCAAGGGCAAAGTGTAAAAACGTGAATAGTTCGGTAGGTAAAGTGTACTCGTGAAGACTAATTTGAGGTGTCTCCTAAGGTGTAAATGACAATTTTGCCCTTGATTTTGCATCTCCGGTGGCCGGAAGTCGTTAAGTGCAAGAATATTTGAAGTTCAAGGGGTAAAGTGTCACCGAAAAAAGTTGAGTCGGCAAAGTGTAAAAATGCAAATAGTTCGGTAGGCAAAGTGTAATCTATCATTATATAAAAAGAATAACCTTTTTACAAATTTAGAAACTTTTTCCCGCCAAAATCATTAAATATATCCTAATATAGTAATTGTTGGACAAATCTGAATAGGCAAAAAAATCGGCTCATTTTTTTTAGTTTATCAAAACCGTTGTTTAACAATAAATATTTGTTTTTCTTTTTCCTATTTTTAGTATAAATCTACACGCTTATCTCTTCTGTTGCAAAATCTCATTGCATACGATCTCACGTGTTTAAAAAATCTCATCCCTTATCTATACAGATTTATAAAGATAAAATAAAATAGAAACCAATTCATAATTACTACTAGAAATCCATTCTCTTTAAAAAAAAAAATAATAAAATAGAAACCAATTCATAATTACTATTGAAAATTCAAAGCTAATTTTCAGCGGTCTAATTACTAATATTTTTATAAATATTATAAGCTAACCATACAAAAAAGTATAATAATAATTTTGAAATTCTGTGTAATCAAATTCTTTTATATTCTCTTATACAAAATAATTTTACATTGTTTGACCCCAAATCTTTAATTTATAATTATTAAGTATTGTTTATCCTCCTCTTTAATTTATAATTTTTTTTTTTTGCTTCCTCTTTTTAAATAGGATTAATAGTAATTTCCACTTCCGTCATTAAGTAACTCAAACTCGAGGTTTATTTATAATATTGTTAATTTAATATTATTCTGTGCATCGCACGGGGTATACACTAGTTTTCCCTAAAATCTATAATGTTTAGTAAACATGGGTTTTGTGCTGACGTGGAAAGGGGATGGGATTAATGTTTCCAATTCCATTCTGCGAAGTAAACGAGGACTTATTTGATTTACCATGGATGAAACCTATTCTGGTAGGTCAACAAACTCTGTACTTTTATAAATAATGTCGGGTGTATGATGTGTTGTGCAGATTATTTACGGTCTCCACGTCCCAGTTCGCAGGGTTGATGACGTCCCCAGAAGCTCAAGTAGAATTATTATGTCAAGCCCGGTCGTCGGATTAAGAAGTTGATTACTTAAATTGTCAGTAAAATTAATCGACGGACATTAGATCTTAAACATGAGGAGGAAGATTGAGCAATTAGTCGGGAATTAATTATTTGTAATTCGGGCGCACCATGGGTGGTTGTTCACTAATATTATTATAGTAGTATTTAATATTAGATATATAGATTCAGTAATTCCAAATGTACCAAATATTAACTTTTTTAGTTTTTAATTTATTAGTTTTGTACTTATTTTTTTTTATCATTATCTTATAAGAATACGAATTTCTTTACTTATTCTTTTGATACAATTATTTTATTATAATTTTAGTGCACCTCTGTTGTTCACGGGCGTTATATTAATTGCAGAATAAATTAATTTTATTTTATTTTTAAAAAAATATATATATCATAAATAAAATTAATAATATTTTATACAAAATATTTTCTAGAATTTAAAATAATATTACAAATTCTTTTACTTTATTATTAACTATTCATACTTTTTATTTCACAACAGGAATTTTATTTCTTTTTTATTTTTTGTTGCACGATAATTTTTTTCTCAAACACTCGTGTAGTTCACGGGCATTTTACTAGCATATTTATATATATAGAATCAATAATTCCAAATGTACCAAAAATTGACAACAATATAAAAACATAATATATCTTGAACCCTACATGAATGGCATTTATTAGATTGTGGTACACAAATTCATTACCCACAATCTCTTCAATAAATGCTTACACTCCGAACCGGCCTCGATATTCAATTACTCACGTAAAAGAAGCACCATTACCTTATTACTCAATAATAAGCCTCGCCTGTGATCATATCTGCAACTTTTCATGTGACCCTTTTCACGTCTAATGCTCTTATTGTCTGTGAATTGCATCAATTCTATAGTTTCTTTCTACTCCATTTCCCTTTATATACTTAAAGTTAGGCGTCCAATTATTGACCATCTCTTGCACCAAAGTATTCAGATTATTTCAACTAATTAAGGTGATGAAGGGATTTGGCTACCGATCGAAATTTTTGGTGGTCGCAATTGTTTTGCTACATGTGGTCTTGCATGCAAGGAACATCGATAACCTGCATCAACGTAAAATATTTTAATATATTACTATTTTAGCAATGTAAAATATTATTTTTAAAAATTAGTGGTACATATAGTGTATTTTAGCATTACATACATTAAAATTAACTTATGCATTTGTATTTTGATAGGTAATGGCGATAATCCCAACAAATCACGTTCCAGTGAGAAGGATTCTACGGTCAAAGCTGAATACCATTGGCTCGGTGGGGATTTACCAAAGCATAAAAGAGCTGATACGATGCCGTTTGCTGCAGGGTCAAGCTTACCGGATTGTACCCATGCTTGTGGATCTTGTACCCCGTGCCGACTAGTTGTGGTCAGCTTTGTTTGTTCATCTCTTGAAGAGGCTGAGACTTGCCCTATATCTTACAAATGTATGTGCCATAACAAATCATATCCTATTCCATGACCAGACATGAATCAATTAAATTTTGTATGGTCAAATTTTATATCCATTTATTTTTATATTTCCGTGACGGCTCACTTTTTCTTTAGGATGGTTTTCTAGACAAATTAAATTTGCTTCCTTTGTAAAGCGAGAAACTTCTACCTTGATCACGCAATTTTACTTTGAGAATACGTATTAGAAACTTGGGCATATGAGCAACTTTGTACTTTACAATTTACATCCTCTTATAAAAATATTTAATTATATGGAGATACGATTAAATATTATAAGATTCTGATATATTCCAACGATTATTGCAATAGATATTGATAGTCAAAATCAACAAGAAGTTTCATCAATTTTTAAGAGAAAGAAAACAAGAATTAAAATCAAATTGACAAGAACTTTCAGCTGCGTTAATATTTATGAATGAGAAAATAGGAATTAAAGGCGACAAAGATCCCAAACTATTAAACAGATGATCAAGGTTTTTATTCAATGAGGGACAGTGAGCAGAATTGAATGCTAGTGTTAATACATTGTCAATAATTTTTTTTGTTTTCAAAACGAACAAATCATAATAAAAACCTCATAATGTACAAACGGGTAATCAACTGATCACATAATTCAACCATAACTGTGTGCACTGGAGAAGAAGTTTCAAGCCAGTCTTTCCTTGCTCTTTCCACCACTTCCTGCTCCTGAAAGGTCTCTTCTCTAAATAAGAAGTTGTTCCAAGCTTTCCAAATATGGAACAGTAAGTACACAAAAATGGTGATTCTGTCTTAAAGCTTTCAAGCTCTTGGTATATTGCAAACTTCTTCCTACCAAGATTTGATGTTTCTACTTTGATCTTGCCAAAAACTCCAATCTATCCCCATGAGCTTCCAACAAGTTCTGACTTTATGGCATTTTAGATACAAATGGTCAATATCTTCCTTGTCATCCCCACACAGCACACACACTGCATCTATTCCAACTCTCATTTTCAAAAGCTAGTCTTTTGTACTGAGATATCCATGGAATACCTTCCACAAGAAAAGTATGAGCTTCGATTGAACAGGTAAATTCCAAGGCTTCTTCCACATTCTGGTTTGTCTTTCATCTTCTTTGCTAGCACTAGTCAAGGACTGAGGAGACGAAGCATGATGATGGCACATAAGTTGTTTTGACAGAGAAAGCAACCATATATTTTGGTTAAAGTGCCACACTAATTTATCTCTCCTTCTCAAGTGACTAATGTGAATTTTTCTAATAGCTGCAGCATTAAGATGGTTAAAAGTTTGATTTAGAAGCTCTACATCCCACTCTCTTCCCCCAGGTTTCATTAACTCGTAGACTTACAAAATTCTCTCTCTCCCTGAGAATAAGAGGAAAGGTTAAAAGAAATTTAATTTGGAATCTAAGAAGAGTTCCAAATTTCAAGGGTTTTTCTATCCCCTACTTGAAATCTATACTTCCACATCCAGGAGTCATTATCTCTCTTCCTAACTTCTAAAAGCCACTGTTTGAAATAATATTAACCTTTTATAACTCTACTCATTAGAAGGTTAGGTTGAGTATAACAACTCTCCACAATTGTTTTACGAATAAAGCTTCATTAAAAGCAGGGTAATCTCTGAACCCTTGCCCCCAGACTCCTTGGATCTAGTTAGCTTTTCCCATTTAGCCAGTGAATCTTATCCCTTCCCTTCTCTGACTTACCCCACCAGAAATAAGCAAAAGAGGAAGACTAATCGCTACAAACAAACACATGCATTTTGAAATAGTACATAACATAAATGGGCAAAAACCTCAAGCACTTCTTTACCAGCATCACTCTGCTAGGGTATATTGTATAAGCTCGGCTTTCAGTTTCTGACAATACTATTTTGAATGAGAATTATGTTTTAGTCAAGTATTTGTGTTTGCGGTTTATTTATTTATGCGCACATTAGTTCCTTTATTTTACATCTATATATATATATATATATATATATATATAAAACTTTTGACAAAAAAAAAAAATACATTTGACATTCTAAATATAGAAAACTTGAAAGCATTTATAAGACACGAGATTAAAAAAAGTCATACTTGAATTCAAAAATTAATGGATTAGAGATATTATTGGGATATGTGGATAAGTCACTTTAAACAGATAAGCCACCTTAACGAGATATTATTGGGATATTATTGTATCCATAATTATCATTACATAATTATCATCAATCTTTCCATTAAATTTCGGTCCACACCAACGTGATACAAAAAATTTCTATAAAATAATATGCATTATCACTATTATCTGTTAACGTCATTCACAGAGTTCAGAGAAAAAAAAAAGAGATAAATTTCAGAACACATCGATAATATAATAACCATGGGAAGAAAGATATCATAACCAACATATGAAAACTTGTGCTTCATGGAAGAACTCATGTTATCAAATATGGTGGGGATTTTCCCTCAAAATGGTGATATTTTCCCTCAACATTAGCAAGGAGCAGGAGATATTTATGATATTTAGAGTTTGATTATTACGAATTTTAATTTCATTCCATGTCGTTGAATTCCGAATTCTATAATAAATTTTAGTGTTCTTATATTTGTTATCGTTATAAAATGTCGATGAATATTTTTATTTTTTTATTCAATGTCACACGAATGTGAAAATTTGAACATTTTATTTTTTACTTTTACTGTATATTAATTTAAAATTGGTAGAATGCCATGATATAAGATATAAATTAATACAAATTTTAACAAATATTTCAAATATAAGATTATATAAATAAAAAATTACGGAATTAACAATAACTGAATCAAGTACATTTAATGGATTATATTGCGTGATTTTTCAATAATTTATCATAATGGATTATATTCATAAATATTTGTTCGATTATAATATTTATATTAATTTGTGTTATATAATAATAGACGTTGATCTTAATGATAAAAGGTTAAATATGATCTCGCCGTGGTAGTTTTTTATTGACGGAAAATCACAGTCTCAATTAGAAATTAATTGTAGAGATAATACAATTAATGGTATAGAGATAATATTGGATTGGATAACTCATTAATGAAAATCGCTCAATATTTGTATTAATATCTCAAATAACATTTTAATTACTTATTAATGGTTCAATCCATATTTATTTCTTTTAACGCCAAAATTTTAATAATAATAATTTATATATTAATCTGTTTTTAATTGCATGGTATGTATTAGTATAGATATATACGGTGAGTATGATGCTATCACAACGAAAAATCTCCACTAACTACTTTGCACTTATCTTATCATCATACAAGAGTTTGAATTTATTAAAACTCATATTTTAATTAATTAACATTTTAATCACTTATTAATGGTTCAATATATTTTTTTATGTCATTTAATCAAACAACATTTTAAAACAAAGGCTGAATAAATTTTGGTTAAATTAATATTAATATAATAATAATAATAATAACAATAATAATAATAATAATAATAATTTATATATTAATCTGTTTCTAATTGCATTGTATGTATTAGTATAGATATATACGGTGATTATGATGCTATCACAACGAAAAATCTTCACTTCTTAACTAATTTGCACTTATCTTATCATCATACAAGAGTTTGAATTTATTAAAATTCATATTTTAAATTAATTAAAATTTTAATCACTTATTAATGGTTCAATCCATTTTTTTTACGTCATTTAATCAAACAACATTTTAAAACAAAGGTTGAATAAATTTTGGTTAAATTAATATTAATACTATAATAATAATAATTTATATATTAATATGTTTTTAATCGCATTGTATGTATTAGTATAGATATATGCGGTGATTATGATGCTATCACAAAAAAAAAAAATCTCCACTTCTTAACTAATTTGCACTTATCTTATCATCATACAAGAGTTTGAATTTATTAAAACTCATATTTTAAATTAATTAACATTTTAAAATGTCAGCCGAACAGAGGAGTGTCTACTCAAGACTTATGTCCGCTGTTGAATCCGACCAAGGAGGGCTCTTTTTTGTATATGGTTATGGTGGAACCGGGAAGACGTACCTGTGGAGGACTTTATCTGCTGCTTTGAGATCCAAAGGCGGTATAGTCTTATGTGTCGCATCCAGCGGAATAACGTCGCTTTTGTTGCCAGGTGGACGAACAGCGCATTCTCGATTTACTATACCATTGAATCCCTACCAGGAATCTACTTGCAACATCAATCAGGCAAGCCCTCTGGCAGAATTGATACTTCGTGCTTCTCTAATAATATGGGATGAAGCACCAATGATGCACAAACATTGTTTGGAAGCAGTACATACATCGTTGCAGGGTATTATGGGAGCAATTGATTCTTTGAACCTCAACAAACTGTTTGGTGGGAAGCCGGTTGTTTTTTATGGAGATTTTCGAAAAATCCTTCCTGTCATTCCAAAGGGTAGCCGTCAGGACATAGTCAATGCTGCCACTAATGCTACATATGGAGAAGTTGTACTGTGCTTAGGCTTACGAAAAACATGCGTCTTCAAGGACTTGCTAATTCGGATGAACGTGATGAGCTTGCACGGTTTGCAGATTGGATAGCCAACATCGGAGAAGGAATTATCGGGCGGTCGAATGACGGGTGTGCACTTATAGACATACTCAAAGACATTATGCTTCAGCCATCTGATAATCTTATTGCTCAAATCGTTGAAAGCACATATCCAATGTATAAGGAGGCGCCTGACGATCCAAGCTATTTGAAGGATAGGGCTATATTAGCGCCAACGTTGGATGTGGTTGAGTCTATCAATGAGTACATGACATCATTGAATTTTTTGGATGGTCGTATGTACTTGAGCTCTGATAGTACATGCAAATCGGATTCTAATAATGATTTTTTGTCTGATCTCCATACGCCTGAGTTTTTGAATAGTATCAAGTGTTCCGGAATACCGAACCGTGAGTTGTATTTGAAGATTGGAACTCCAGTCATGTTATTGCGGAACATGGATCATTCTATGGGTTTGTGTAATGGGACACGATTGGTTGTGACAAAACTATCCACTCATGTTCTTGAGTGTAAGATACTCACAGGAGATCATGCTGGTGTTACGGTGTTGATTCCAAGAATGGCCATAACTCATTCTGATGTTAGAATTCCTTTCAAGTTCCAGCGGCG